GTTTACAACTTGTTATTCCAGTCACAGAGTATATTCTTATAGGCCAATCTTTGTCAGCAAGGCACTTAGTGTATCCAAGGCTGTTATCAAACTAAATATCTCACTCTTACTCCTGTACCTTGTCTACTTACAAACTAGCGACCCGTATATTGTTTTAGACTTTTAGTCAGTTATAGTTTAGTAATTCCTTGTGTTTTTCACCGTCTTCTTGGAAAGTTGACCATCTGCAATTAGTTTAAATTGACATCATCAATTCTACTTTAATACCTTGAATAGTATCTATCAAAGTCATTGTAATTAAGGGTAAAGCCATCCAAAATATTATACAGGATGCACCTTGATCGATAATGGTGATGATAATCCTATTTCTGCAATGTAGATTACATCCAGTAACATATATTACCTGTCTGTTTACCTCTGTCATAATGATGCTGGTTGGCCTCTTCATCTTCCGTACCGACAGCGATGGCTGATTGCAAGTTACGATGCAAGAAACATCGAGGATAATTACACACGATAGAGTGAAGTCGTTGTCAATGCCTCTTTTCCATAATCCTATATTTTCTCAATATAAGAAATTGAAAGAATTAAGTGCCACTAATGAGAGAATGAAATCAAATTGCGCAGGGTAGTGATATCAACACCTGCACTTGATCTATATCGATCTATATCGATCTATATCGTCTACATTCTGCATCAACAGAGCAATCACTGGGATGCTATTAGTGTAAGCCAATCGACGTGTAGTTAACAGTGCTTAGCGATATTTTGGGGATGATTAGTGGATAAATTGCCAATCAATATTGCAGCCTTACTTCTTTTAGTTATAGCAATACTCAAAACAGATTGTGGTAATGTCTACGGTTCATCTTCCATTTGAATTATATTAGTACTGTCATAACTTACTTACCTTATCCATGATATTGTAACAGAAAATGTTTATCCCAATAATCTTCAAGCAGCTATCAATTCCTAACAGGAATCATGGATGATTGTCCTATTTCTGCCCCATCGATAGACTCTAGTATAAGATTCAATTTGATCACCTATCATCACAAGTACGCGTACTTGTTACACGATCAGACAACAGGAAAATGTTAGTTGATCAATAGTTGATTCAAGAATACAGACGGCTTTGATTATACTATATTTAAGTAATCCTTGCACTAGAGTAATGAAA